TCGGCATTGGCCGGCGGATGGAATTCGGAGGAGGCCTAATCTGTGGGATCTGATCGGTCTATTGGAGGTAATTGGCAGCAGGCGGTCTCTCAAATACCCAGGTCCAATACCACGAAGGGCTTAACATTTCTTAACATTTCTTAACATTTTCTCAGCTTTAATAAACATTCTACCAACGTACACTAATTCATCTTGTTCTAGTTTTCACCACTGATGTACAATTTGCAATCATTTATTCCATTTACTCTATGAGACTACAACTACAGCCCATGGTGATTGATACATTAATTTTCAGATCAGTAGTTCCGGTTATAATCATACAGCCAATCGAAAACTTGTATTATCAGCGGATAAAACTGCTTCAATAAAATACACAGTAAAATGTAACCTGACAAATGTAGCTGTAATGTTTCCCCAAAGAATTTCGTATACATTTACAGGTATCCCCAAATAACCAGAGACATCACATATCTTTGATTTGCTCCTGGCTCATTATGGAAACATTGAATAATTCACTACGCGTTTTATTTATTCTCACAGGCTTTACTTCTATCAAATACAGCTCTTTCTATATTCCGCAACCAACCGTCAACTTTGTAGGCGAACAAACTATTTGATAACTCAAGCTTAACTCACTGTCATCTGAATCAACAAACATGCAGTAAATACTATTTCACATTCATGCAGTCTTAATGACCTGCTGAAAAGTAAAAATCTGAAGCACTCACGGAACCCCTACCTGACACGGAGCCATACAGCACTCATCACATTGTTACCTCTTGTTATCATTCAGGCAGAAATCTGCCACAACACATTCCTGGGTACACTTAATAAGATAAATTCCCTTATAGTTTTGCATTCGTTCTTGTTACCTTTCTCTTTATTTTGGAAAACAATAACCATAGTCTTCCAATTATCAGGCACAGCTTCAGCTTTCACATAGCTATTACATTAATCCACAGTCATCCAATAAATAAACCACATCTTTATTTTAACACGTCTCCTGTTAAACTGCAACCATATCATTTTTTCAGTGTGCTCAGAGCATAGATGACTTCGCTTGCATAATTTTTTTTTTGAAAGTAACATTTATAGCATTAATTTCAATTTCATTCTTTGGCATATTATCACTCCCATATAAATCTCTAAAGTATTCCTTCCAGCATTTCCTCACTCTCCTGTCATCCCAGATCATTTCCAAGTCTTTTTTTTTATTTCCACGCACTTTGTAGGAGGATTTTTGTTTATCCTTTTTCACTCCCCTGCCGAAGTTATTTTTTTTTCCATTTCTTAACAGTTCTTTGCTTTCTTTACATTCTTTGCAAATCTCTTTTTCTCTGTGTACAATAGAAGTCAGTCATCCTCTATTTCTCCAGCAATTATTCTCTTATGTGAATCCAATCTCCCTTCATTCAGTTGACAGGCTAATCTCTCTCATAATAATTTTCCATAAAATGATTTACTTTCTCTGTCTGCAGCTTCTCTCTATTCTCTTCCCTTTTTTGCCAATGTCCTTTTTGCCCAAAGACCTACTCTTGACAGCACTAGAAAAATGATCTATCTCATATTTAATTATCTTTCATTATACTTGTAACCTTCGCTAACTCATTATAAACAATTAAATCAATTATTACTCATAGCCATTTAAATAAATAACAATTAAATCAAACATGTTTAATTTCTTTTCCATTTTCCACCAGTAAACCTACGCTTAAAACACAAATTTGAAACAAATAAACCCTTTCTAAGCAAATATGCACCAAATTATTGCAATTCTCCTTGGCTCTTGGAATTCTTGAGCACAAACACATTTTCTATATACTCTGTTACTCTCACTAATTCCTCTATGCCTCCTAATGGAAAAATGTTTAAATGGATCACATTTATTTCAAATGTTGCAGAATTTTTTAATATACTCATCCATTACCATCATTCGCTGGGCTGTACCAAATGTAACAAGTAATTATCATCAACCTGAAATGTGACTTTTATAACCCTTCACACAGTGCAAAATGATACTTAGCCATTCTTTTTGATATTCATTTGAGTCATTTCATTCATAGTAAACATTAATTCATTTTTCTTGTATGCATTTATCATTCTACAAATCCAGGCCACCTTTACTGAGATCTATTAATCCCTTTGACTTTCAGGCATATATTCTTTAGGCAAGAATTTGGAAAATTCAAATTCAGATTCAATATTTTTCCTTCATTTATAATGTCATGCTTTCTACTCATTCCAAGTAACTATCTTCCTTATGCTGTGGTCATCACGAATTGGGCTCTTAGATTAACTACAAGTTTTAATCATACTTATGACTTGGAGACAGTGGTGGGTTTCAAAAATTGTTCGAACCTACTCTGTGGGCGTGGCCTCCCCTTTGTGGGAGTGGCTTGCTGCCCATGTGACCGGATGGGAGTGGCTTCCCGCCCAT